TCAAATGAATAGGAGGAATCAAATGGCTGCCACTGAGGCAGGCACAGTGATTGAGTATGTCACACATTAAAACTAATTCTGTAACAAAGTTACAAGCAGGCTCCAAAGTGACCTGAGACACACTTCCTTGCTCTGTTATTCTCTCTTCTTTAATAATCAAAGAGGAGCAAACCTCATCCTCAGAAATCACTCTGGCTAATCTTTCATTTTTTTTTAAACAATTTTGCTTATTTCTTAATAAATGATTCTTTGACTTCCTTTTGATTTCAAACAATTCTTGTACTACATACCCTGCAGCAACTTAATCCTGTTCTCATTTAATGGGTAAGTAAGTTTTATGGGTATCTCATCTTTTATCAAGTGATTCAGGGAAGTGGCAATAAACATTTGATTCAGAATGGAAGAGAAGCACATTTCCCTGGTCTATCCCTTCTTATTTGCCAAATGAAGAGCCAAAAGAAGCTAGTCTAGGTGCTTCTTACTAAATTTGAGGAAAACTTTCTATAACTTTTCATTCTGACAAATCCTGTATCTGGTTCTGAATGGACATTTTTTGCCCTCATAGTAAATGTTTCAATTTGAACGGAAAATGTATTCGGTCTGAGTAGCTGAGCATTCTGTGTTCCACATATCACAACAAGGGTTTTGAAGAGAAAAATTACGCTCTCAAAGATAAAATGGAAGACTTTCCATTTGACTCTTAATGAAAGCTCGTGCAGTTTCAGAACTAAATAATATCATAAATAAGTGAAGTGCTAAGCATATAGCAGCCCGTGCATTTAAGATTAAATATGCAGTGTGAAACTTCATTTGAAACACTCATCTTTGAAAACAGTGTCTCCGTATTTCCTGAACTAAAGCTAACTGACCAGACTCGTGGGTCTCATCACAACTACCAGCACCCAACAAGCAGCTAATTTTGTTATTGGCCCTGCTCTCATTCTGCCATGGTAAGAGTTGTGGAAAAGGACAGGAAACAAGATAGCACTCGCAGTGGGCAAACTCAAACTGATACTTAATAGAGTTTCTGTGCTATTTGTGTTTCTATCGTGCCATTTATTTTTCTAAAGCCTCGGGATGCATTTTCCCATAAGTAAATATTTTTGCCTAGAAACATTTCTATTTCATCATTGACTTGCCTCTTCTGCCTTTATAGCTGTATTGAGGCTGTATAAATATTTGTGGGAAGTAAGAGCTTACTTTCCTCAAATGTCTCTCAGAAATGTGGTATTTGAGGAGGGATTAGTGAAAAATCTTTTGCATAAATCACTTCTGATTTTTTAAAGGCCTTCACATTGTGCTGCAGTGAAGTTGTGCAACTCTCTGATAAGAAAAAGACTTCAGCTTAAAAAATAGCCTTGAAGGCATGAAGTCTAGAGGATGCTTGTATTTCCACAAGACAAAATCATCTCAGGTTTTAACAATAAATAAACAGTGCCTTAAAGTCACTGGGCTGAAGTTACCCAGCACAGAATTAATGTAATGGCCTACTTGGGATGAGGACTTCAAGACTAAGATGACAGTAATAAAACCCATTTGAAACACAAACATTATTCAGAAGACCTCAAAGAACTCAGGAGCTGGATACCTTTATAAATAAACAATGCTACAAAGAGGAGTGAAGGAAGGACTGTGTCTCTAGACAAATGAGAGCATACTGTTTCTGGAGGATAAAAGTGTTTTTAATATTGTGCAGTAGGGTGAAACTGAGGGTTGTACGTCTTTTTATTTTGCTTAGAGATCCTGCTTATCAGATAAATTTGGAATTATTTCCTCTGATGCAGAAATACACTTACAAGGGTAATAACTCAGATAGCATACTTGAGTTCGTGGGAAGCAGAACCAGGAGTAGACCTCCTGTGGAATGGAAACAATCCAGATCCAGCTGTCTGGAAATTAGCATCTTATACAAACCTCACTTCTGTTTCCAAAACAAAGACCAATAACTCACAAGCACAATTTTTCCCACCTTTCTTGGATTCATATATGAGGACAGGAAGAATCACTACGTGAGGTACATTTATACCCCTCACTGACTAGTGGGATGCTGTGCCACCAGTTTAAATTAGATTGTATATCTACAGATATTCAGAGCAAGACAGCAAACTCTTCTGTTGCCCACTACACCCTGATCAAAGCTGCATTTGTTTGATGAGCTTATATTAATGTGAGAATGGAGAAGCAATTAAGAGAGCAAATCTTTACTGAGGAACTGTCTTGGTAGAAGACATAGAAAACACAATAGACAGCAGAGAGTCCCTTGGAACTGACATCTTTTTCCATTGCCCTCAAAATCAACATCTGCATCCATGAATAAGTTAATAAACATCCCTTAAAGGCTGCAGCCATAAAACACCAGTCCTCCTGTGCTTACTCACTCTTGGGTACTAACTTGTGCAAGACGCAGCACTCCTCTGTTCCCCTGACTGATGACAAAGATATCAGGAAGGAAGGCAGTGGCTCTTCCAGTTTCATATTCTTTGTCATTTGTGTAACAGTGGCATTTAGAATTTAGAAAATTCCATGTATAGTTTCCAAAGTGTAAAAGAGATTTCTCCCCATAAACGTTTCTGTTGGCGGTTTGTTCACTCTCTTATTGGTGAGATGATAAAGGTATTTCACGTCTTAAATTGTTTACATGGAAGATTAGGACAAATTTACTCTGGACTTGAATTCATGAGAATTTGCATACTTTTCTTTTGACCAAATCCATTTGCCAAAAGCAACATTTAGATGGTTACAAATGGTTTCTAAAGATTACAGAAGCCTTAGGCACAGTTTATGGGCAGTATATTTTTGCTCTGGAGAAATTTCAGACAAAAGGCGTGACAAACTGCTGGCAGGATCCCCTCCAGACAGACTCAAACGAACAAAGCAGCATTTATAAAAACATGATATTGACTCAGCTTTGTTCCACTATAAAGAGCAAAACACTATGAACCATTTGGAAGGTCTGTCTCTACTTCAAGTCAGAACGCAGTTCGATCCAAATGCTGAACTAAGATTGTGAGGAGATCTATGGCTAGTGCTGCTCACAACTGACAGTCATAAAGCAAACATGTTTGCTGAAAGACTGGTAAGATCGACAAAGATTCCTTCTTCTGTGATGAGCCTGCATCAGTCCCCATCTCTCATGTTGTGATCTGATGATGATGCTGTTGTTTTTACATAATGATAAACTCTCAAACCATTGTGGCTGATACCACATGCTGCTCTGACATGTTTCCTCTTAGAATATTAAATTAGCCCAAGCACTGTAGTGCTTTGAAAGTCAGTTATTCAAAATCTGGCAGCGGATAAGGAGAATCAAGTGATTTTCCTAATGCATTTAAAATTAAAGTCATAAAGAAAAATCTCTTTTATTAAGTGCTTGAAGGATGCTTTTTTTCCCAATGCCAGTTCCTTTAAAAATGTACATGCTGACTGTATAGCAATATATTTTCATAAGAAAGATCTGTCATATGCTATTAGGTAAATTTGTTTTTGTAGCTGAGGAATAGAGGTGGTCACATTATTTGTTTCAAGTAAATTATGCAATGAATCTTTTTTTTATGACTACTTTATTTCTGACTGGGACCTGTCATTATTTGACTACTTCTGCAGAAGGCAAATATTTTCCAGTGAATCATTTTTCTCCACACTGCCCTCCCCACTCTTTCTTCATCAGCTGTCAAACAAATTAGCTGGCATATTGTGTTAAGCTATTTACTTCTCTTAAATAATTTTAAGAAATTCATCTCTTCAAAGGAGAGCTGCTCAGAAATTCCCGGAAATTCTTTTGCAAACCAAATATCTTTTGGGTAGAGTTTTCTGCCTGGTTGTTGCATAGATCATATACATTTTTAATGGAAGTCATGCTCAGATATATATTAGGGCACACAGTTAGACTGGAGAAAGGTTCTAGACAATTAACATGGCTTTCACCCCATACTAAAGGCAGCAGTTTAGTAGTTAGGCATTGTGACTAAGCCAGTCATATGGGCTTCCTTTGTAGTGGCACCTCCCACAGCAACATGTCTAAGCAAAGATAGTTAACCTTAGATGTTTCTCTCTTGACTGTGAATAAACTCTATCCCAGCCAAAACAAGAACAGGTGGCAAGGGATATCATCTCCAGTCTTGAACTTTCAGATTATCTGCATCCACAGTAACACATGTACGTGTTAAGGGAGATGTAACAAGGAGGTGGAATGTCTGTGCCAAGCAACTTCTCTCTACAGAACACTTTATGCTGGTGCTCCCCAGTCCCTGACTCTTAGAACAATTTAATATGGAGGCAATGTCCAGCTTGTCTAGGAATCGTGTGTTCACAGGGATCTAATATAGTTAGATCTTGTATTTCAATCTCCTGGTATTAAGAATCCCTTCACTTTTCTCATCTTTTTTTGAGCCTCGTCAGTGAGCTCAAGAACTTGCACTGAATTACACTACATTTGAAACAGTCTCCTAAGTGCTTCTGGTTTTGCTTTGATACCTCGAGTTTCAGAGCCCCTCTTTCCCCTTAGTTTCTTCCTTATGAAACTTACATATTGCAGTCAAACACCACTCCCCCTTCTCCTTCCCCTTAATGTTCTTTAGCATAACAAAGTGATTTGGAATTTTAAATGTCCAAATTTATATTTGGTGGTAGAGGTTCAGGAAGCAGATAATAAAATGTAGAGTAAGTATGTATATTAATCTTAAACTGTTGTTTATTGAAGATAACAGGATTATTTCATTCCTGGCTGCACTGGTCCTTCAGCTTATTTTTCTCAAATTACTAGCACTGAAAACTACACAGATGCAGACGGGTCTTACACATTACAGACACATGTCAAAGGAATAGCCTAGAGCAAGCCTAGTAGCCAAGAACAAACAGAGACCAGAAGGTCTTCCTGGCCTGTAGCAGTTAGCACATGGATTCATTTGCAGTCCTGCATCCTGAGCTACAAGCTATCGTACCAAAAAAATAAATGGATCTTAATTTTACATCATGTCTACACAGCGGTATGTTAGAGATACCTGAGCTTTGAGCACACACCACGTCTATACAGTGTATCTTCATGCAGAAATGCCCACGCCAGTTCCATGAGGGAGCACAGCAAACACGCAAGGCATAGAGCTAGGTCTCATCAAAGTCTGTCACTGCTTACGCTGTTCCTGCTTCCTGAGCAGGTGAATTCAGCATTCACCCCACGATTGTTGCATCACACTATTCTGCATGACATCAGTATTGACCTTCCATCCCTCTTTGTATTGGGGAAAGTACCACACTGCATCTTCTAACCGTTCCTGATCAGTGTCCCAACTTTGGAAAGTGAAACAGTGCCTGCTGCACCTTGCACCTCCCTGAATTATTCCTGTTACAAGGAAAATGAAACTACATATCAGACAACAATACTACTCTGTCCACCAAGGAAACTGTCCCTCATCTGGAGGACTTCTCCATGCCCCTTCTCGCTTGCACTTCCACCAACTATATTTGCACAAATAGCTGTTTTATTTACTTCATTTCTTCTTCTTATCTTACAGACCACAGACGTCTACTCCTCCATGTCCTCAAAGAGCAGTTTGTATTGACACACCCCTGGATTACTCACTCCCTTCACCTACTTTTTTTTCCCTGCTCATTCTTTCCTAGACAGAGATTAGAGTTAGCTCAGAATGGATGATCGCAACAGTCCTCTCTAGCACTAAAATCACGTGTAGAAGGACAAGAAAATTTAAGTTTTCTATGCAAGGGATGCTTATTTTTGAGAGGTTATCTCTTTCTGTTTCACACACTTGTGCTCCAGGTGCCTGCTGGATACAAGCTTTCTGTCCAAAAAGGGACAAGGGAACAAACTGTAATTGGCAGCTGCTGGCCATAACCATACTTCTGTCCCATCTTGCTGTTCTACTGTGTTTCTTTGCTGAGGAATGTCACATCTTTGAATTGTACTGAGACACAGTTCTGCTACCCTTTCTGAGCAGTGCTATCTCACTGACTGTATGCAGGTAAATATCCTGGCAGCTTTGTAGGTTAGCCAAGCATCAAGAGACTACCCTGACCATTTTTATTTTTGCTTGCAGAGTCCAAATGATTTTTTAATGTTCTCTCTATAAAAAAGCACTCAGTGAGTCTTTCTTGAGTATTACATTTTGTAGCTTCCTTGCCACAAGTTTAAAGTTATTTTCTACGTGCTTCAGCTGAACATAAAAACTCTTAAAAAGTCAAGGACAGGAGATGCCACAGGAGTGTGCAATGACCAGGTTTTCAGGAGAGTGCGTGGGCCAGGAATGGCCTCGATTCCAAACCTGAGTTCCCAGAATAGATTTAGTGGTTATCAATGGGTAAGCAAGGAAAACTATCCCAGTCTTGCTGCATGCAGGTTGTCAAGCTCATTGGAGCTTTCAAAAGCTCAAGTCTAACGAACTGAATGCCTAGATGCATGTCTGATAGACACTGAGAAACCACTAAACATAGATAATTTGTGTATCTTGGATTTTGTTTTTAGATCGATGCATCCATTCCAACAGAAACATGTACTTGTTGAACAGTACTGCCTCTATATGCCAAATGATAATACTTTTAACTCTTCCAGAATAGCACATCTGAAAATTGGACTAGATCCGTGGGCCCAAATATACCTAGTGATTTTACTTTTTCACACTCCTCATCCGTGAACTGAGTTAATTCTGTTCCTTGGTTCTTCTACTAATTGTTTTACATTTAACTTCCCTTTCTACTGAAGATTTCCATTAACTCCTGTCTTGAGGGTCCTGGCTCTTGCTTGAGATAGGTGTTACTAAACAAGTATTGCCTTTAAAGTGAATGTTGCACAAAAGACCAAAAATACAGTTTTTCAAAACAGCCAAGAAATCTCTGTTTTCCAGGTTTGCACTAATGCTGTTATTTCTCCAGTCTGTTTGCCAAGAGAGAACACTGCTCTTATTTGCACTTCCTTTGTGAAAAGTGATCATATCAGCCCATCCTCTTTTTTTAAGCCCATCCTCTCCTAAAGTGCAACAGTATTCAGTGCTGCTTATGTTCTTATCTTGATCTCTGATGTTCCCAAGTGCAGGAATATAAATTCCTATATAAATTCCTATCCTATATAGGATATCTGACAGGAGAAAGCCCTTTAATCTAGCAGATGAAATTCTAACAAGAACCAGTGGGTGGAGGCTGAAGCTAAGAACTAGCCAATATGAAAATTAAAAGCACAGGTTGCTGCCTTTTAAATTTTTTAAGAGGAAAATTAATCATTTTAACATCTCATGGTGGTGGTGGTGGTGATGGTGAATTCAAACCTAGACAAAAAAGAAGCAAGAGTGGTTATAGAGGGCAGGGGTCTCAAACCACTTTATTTTATGCATGCAATCCAAGAGCCTAAATGAAGTGATCAAGCTCTCTAGGTCCTTCTAAATGCAGTGGACAGATTGGTTCAAGACAAGGGAGAGTGAAAGCTGAAGCCTTTTGCTGAAAAAAAAAAATCAACCTGCTTTTTTGCATACAGCCTCTCTCTTTGTCCATCCCCACTGTCACAGTACTGTCTCATGGCTGATGGTGAGCCAAAGCTGGTCCTCCAGTGAAAAAAACACTGTTTCACAAGCATAAAAAAGATAGGTCAGAGAAGAGAGGTGAAAGGATATTTCTTGTTATTCGTTTTGTTTTAGAGTATGACATTAAAGGGAAGATTGAATTTTCAAAATTATAAATAAATAATGCTTGAAAAATACTTTCCTGAAGAGTGAGGAAAGGTCAGATCACAATCTAAATTTCTTGTAACCCCTTGTGAGAGATTAGATGTGGGAGAGAAACTTAACTAGTGTAAAATAATTTTGATCTCTTGCCTGAAATGAGCTCTGCTAGTACAGCACAGTTGAAGATGGGCCTAGAATTTGTGATTCATCTGGAATTTTTATGTTCCAGTCTGCATTTCTGCTCTCTTTGTGTCTTAACATCACACTGCTTATCTCTGGAAGAAATGAATCTTCCTTAAATAACATCACATTGCTGGGGACTGTGTTAGCCAAACTGTGCCAAGTCTTGGTGGCTTGGGCAGAGTCTTACAAAGCAAACCACAATTCCAAGCTTTGTGCAGACAGCCTATCTCCATCTGTCACTGGTGAGAAGTTTGACTTCTCTGGTTCTGCCTGGTTTCTGAAGGCCCAGGAACTGCTCCAGCAATGACATTGTACATAACGGACCTATGCTCTGCTCGGAGCAATTTGTTCTTGGCTGACTGGAGGCCAGTAAGAATACAACCTCCCTCAATGTCTTTACAAAAACAAACAAACAAACAAAAGAAAAACCTAAACAAATTAAAAACACACATGAATAATAAAAATGAGGAGAGAGAGAAGAGGAGGACCACATGGAAAGACAAGTATTCTGATAATAGAGGGAGGATGAGGCTGGCAGGCAAACTTAGTGGCAGTGAAACAACAGATGGGCTATAATTTTAGTGACTCGTCCCACAGATGGTTTAGCAGATGGATTCTGCTGGGTTCATACAACTTAGGTGGAGATCTCAGCTGCTAATCATGACAGGCAGAGCAGCTTCAGCAGAGATAGGACCCCTACTTTGCTTTGCATCGTGCATGTACTGTTTTGATACAAACTGGCAGTGCAAGGACAATGACAAGTGCCACTCTAATAGGCAGCTTTTGTACTCTTTACATGCCACTTAGACTCAGATTTGCATTGTCTGTTTCAGGAAAGGTTTGCTACAAATGAATTTGCCTTCTTATTTCTGCCAGTTATCAGCAAATACTACTCTATGGAAAACTAAGGTGTCTGCAAATTGTTAAGGGTTCATACAGTGTACTGTAGGTTTTGGACAATGACATAAATTTCAATGTTATTAAGTGAGAAACATTACCAGGAGTGTAGCATTATGGAAAGAATATCAGATATAAACTGAAGAAAAAATGCTATTAATGAGGTTAAGACCCAGATATGCCTGGAAATAGCTGATTTATTTTGTCATCACACATTCTCCAAAGCAGCAGGAGAAGTTATGTTAGATTTTGTTTTGGTAAAAAAATAAAGCCATTGCAAAAGCACAGGTCGAAGAAGATAACCTGAATCTAGTGATCATGAGTTGATTTCCTTTAAACAGAAGGGTAAACAACAATGGTCCCAGGATGACAGTTTGTAATTTCAAGAGGGCAAGCTTCGATAAAGGGAGAGGCCTGACCTCAATGGCATGCACAATTTCAGAACAAATATTAGCAGAAGAAAACATTAACTACATGGAGATAAATGGAAAATGCATTGAAATGTAACACAAGATTTTCAAAGAGAAATTGTATCAAAGAAATCTGATCTAGCTCATGAATATTGTTCTCTTTGCACAAAAAATAAGATAATGTAATTGATTGAAGCTTCAGTGAAGCATTTCATAGGTGCCATGTGAGAAAATCTTAGGTAAGCTGAAATAGATGGGGATTAATATACGAGGAGTAAGGTAAGACAGTGTAAAACATAGTACAGCTATATATTGCATTAAAAGAAGAAGGACCAGGCTGAAGGGAAGTTCCTAATAAGGATCTTTAGGGACAAATTTTAGGACCAATTTCCATTAATGATTGCCTTAAAAAGTAGTGAAATGTTAGCTACAAATCTCACAGGCTTTGTTAAGTGTAGAGGAAGAGATAACAAGACAGATGGACTGGATAACCTTGAGAACAAACAGTGGAAATGCAATCAAATTAAATAGTGCAAAAGAACTGACACAGAAATAGCATGGTCATATGCCAAACATTAGCATTTGTGAATGACAGACAAACAGCCAAAGGGATACTGCTGAGAAAGAGGGAAATGTGACCCTAGGATGTATTTTTGGTTGAGGATCCAAAAGAGATGTGCTCCTGGAATACTGCACAATTCATTTCTATTCATAGAACTTGCTGTAGGATAAGAGTGAGACTCTACACTGACCAAAGAAAAGCAAAGCTTTCCATGTGAGAGAGGATGAAAACATCTGTTTAGTTCAGGAAGACAAAGGATGTGAGGAGAGATGGCTGTTGTCGTTCTGGGTGAGGAACAGTTACCAGAGAAGAAAAAGGGCTGGTTGTACTAAGGCCAACATAGGCAGGAGAAAAGCCTGTGAAAGTGAAGAAGTTAGAAGGGAGCACCTTTTTATCAGAGGGTGAGAGTTCTGGGTCTGCGTTGAGAATGAGAAACATGGAAAGAACTGCTCAGTTAGAGTAAGATAGAAAAAGGTACATTTAAGAGTTGCCTTATGTGATGTAGTGGTCTACAATAACAAGTGGGCTTGTTATTGGCTCTGTTTTATAATGCTGTACTCTCCCTCATAAGCCAGTGAATTTTCTTCCTGTGGTGGTTTCACACTGATATGTAGCTAAGTTCCCACACACATTTCCCTTACTGCCCCTCCTCAGAAGTACAGGGAAAAGAAATGATAAAAAAAAACCTTATAGGTTGAGATATGGACACTCACCAGTTACTGTCATG